ACGTTTCAATGAAGTCTCATTCATCATCTTCAGGCTTCTGTCTTCGGCTCTGTGCTTCTCAGAGTGATGTGAGCTCACAGCTGCTTCTTCCTTTTAACTGCTAGTGGGGGTGTGACTTGATTGGGTGGGGGCTTGGCTGTGTTCTGATTGGGTGGGTGGGTGTTCTCATTGGTAGGGGGTTTGGCTGTGTTGTGATTGGTTGGGGGGTTGGCCATGTTCTGGCTCAGATACGTAGATGACACCTTCATAATCTGGCCACACGGGAAAGAAAAACTGAACAACTTCCTCACACACCTCAACAGCCTACACCCCAAAATACAATTCACCATGGAAACAGAAGCCAACAATCAACTTCCCTTCCTAGATGTCTTGGTATACAAAAGATCCAATGGCTCCCTAGGACACACCATCTACCAGAAGAAAACACATACAAACCGCTATCTACATGCACTCTCACACCACCACCCAGCACAGATCAATTCCGTAGCCGAGACACTCATCTCCAGAACAAAATGCTTAGCCGATGAACAACACCTAAAAACCGAACTACACACTCTCACCAACGTACTAACAGCCAATGGATTCCAAAGAAAGAAGATTACCCACCTAATCCAAAAAGAAACCCCAACCAAAATCCTAGACAGAGAACAAGAGAACGGCAAAGCCCTCCTCCCATATATAAAAGGCACTACAGACAAAATCAGCAAGATCCTCCAAAAACACAACATTAAAACAGCATTCTGCACAAACGGAAAAATATCCACCATCCTAAGAAACCCCAAAGACAAAATCGAATTAGAAAACCAAGGAGTATACGAAATCCCTTGCACTGCCTGCCCCACCACATACATTGGACAAACTAACAGAAGAATAAGTGCACGCATCGAAGAACATAAGAACTCAATCAAAAAAGAAGAACTGACCTCTTCCCTGGTCCAACACCTCAAAGCCACAGGACATGAGATTGACTTTAAAAATACCAGAACTATCGCCAAAACCGAACACTTCAACAGCAGAATAATCAGAGAAGCCATAGAGATAGAAAAACGCCCACACAGCATGAATAAACAAGATGACACCTCCCGCCTACCAGCCATTTGGAAACCCGCCCTCATGAACAGACGAGTACCTAACATGAAGAATGACACCAGACCCACACCCATGAGAGCCACACAAGATGCCACCACCACACTTCCACGTAGAAAACAGACTCACACCCACTCAGAAAATGAGACACGACCACGGACCAGAAGCCGCACTGCAGCTGCACCACTACCCACTTCAAACCCCTCCGATCCATACATGAAGCAAACTTACACCCACCATGAAGATGCAGCACGACCATGAACTCGAAGCCAAACAGCACGATCACAGTTCACCAGCTCAAATCCCCCAGCAACTAAGACTAACCTGAGCACAACCAAGCCCCCACCTGAACAGAACACGCCTCCAGCCAATCAGAACACGGCCAACCCCCCAACCAATCACAACACAGCCAAACCCCCTACCAATGAGAACACACACCCACCCAATCAGAACACAGCCAAGCCCCCACCCAATCAAGTCACACCCCCACTAGCAGTTAAAAGGAAGAAGCAGCTGTGAGCTCACATCACTCTGAGAAGCACAGAGCCGAAGACAGAAGCCTGAAGATGATGAATGAGACTTCATTGAAACGTTGCCTAGATACCTCGAATCTTACGCGGGAGAAAACCCGAACAACCAAAGATCCATATATATATATATACATACACACACACACACACACACACACAGGCATACACATACACATGTGTTCTGTCTCACTTGTAGCCACAAGTGAGAGTCCAAATGTCCCAAAGAAATAAACACTAACAAATAATACCAGAAACCACAGAGTTAACTTGTCTCTATAATCGTCGTTGGCAGCTTTCCCAGAAACTGTCTTCAAGCCGAGATAACACAAGATAAATCAGGAACAGGAACAGAGGGCTTCTTCAAAGCTGCGCAGTAATTAACAAAGTTGATCCGGACAAGGATCGTTAACTAGCACGCCTCCTTATATTCCTTGAAGGGGCGTGTCAGTCTCTCTAATTAGTCTCTGACTTGACGTTTCTTTTCAAATTGTGCTTGACATCTCAACCTGCGTCTAGTCCTTGCATCAACCCAACATTCATCATCACTCAAGGACTCTGGTATGTTCTGTGGATCAGCTGCTGACACCTGAGGCATGATTGATGTGGAAGGTTCTGGAGAGGATGGTGTTTCCGACACTCCGTCATCCTCCTGGCTCACGTCTGCATCTCTCATTAGAGCAGGCTCCAATTCCAATGCCAAACCTTCCTCATCACTCAAACCTGTGTCTTCTGATACATCAGACTCAAAACTCACAGCAGGCTCAAACCTTCCAGTCACAACACATATGTATTAGGGTGATTTCCCCCAGGTTCCAGGAAGGAGACCCCTGCTTGGGGGAAGAAAAGCCTCTCACAGTTCCAGAAATAAAATGCAGATCACTACCACGTGGTTAGTGAGTCTGCAATGGTGCCAGCCATTATCTCTTTAGGCGCGTAATGAGTTAAATTGGCTCAGCAGCAATTCCGCGCCTTGTGGGGAGTCAATACTGCAGAGTTCCCCCTGAATAAAAAGGCGTGGTGGTGCACATGGGCGCTAATGCCCCCACCCCAGACGGTGTTCCCAGGGGAGAGAGAGAAGCCTCGGACCCTTTTAAAATGGAGCTGCTCCCATCGGGCGCGGGCGGCAGCGATCGCAGCAGCTTGGCTTGAAAAGGTCGTAATGGTATGGGCTAAGACATGTGAGTGCGGCTGAGGCGTTATTGCCTCCGATTGCCCTGGGGGCGAGGAGATCATTATCCGAAGCTACAGTGAGCTCCCTCGGCTCAAGTTATATGCCGTAGGGAGCTGCTTGACTCATTGAAACTAAAAGCTTTAAAGGATTTGTTTAGAGTTTAAAAGCAAACCTTTTTGTTGTCTCTTTTTGAAGCCTTTGCTATTCCAGCCAAGGGAAAGGAAATTAAGCTGCCTATATCCACGAAGGCTGAGCAAAAACTAGGGACGCTAGGGAGGAGTCCTGTGGAGGAGGAGAAGCATCCTCTTAATTAAAGCCCAGCCTATCAGACGAGCGACAGAAGCATCATCCCATTCAATGGATGCTCTGAACAGCTCATCTGGAGAAGAGAAAAGAAGGACAGATAAATAAGACTTCAAAATTTGGATAATTGGGAGATATATAACTGGGGAAATATAAATTGTAGATCGTAAAATAAGGGGTTTTATAAAATGGATTTCCAGGAAACAATAGAGTTTTATGGAGAAATATTGATTATGTTAAAAGATACGCATGAATTTTGGAAAAGCAATAAGGAGACAAAGGGATTGTTTAAAGATACAGAAATAAAGGTAGAAGCTACTCAACAATTGGAGGAAAAAGAAAAATATGACACTCAAGAAACTGGTGATAAGTTAGAAAAGATAGTGGAAGGGGAAAAGCAAAAAGAGATGCAAGAAGTTAAAAATAAAAGAGGAGAAAGGATCAATAAATAGAAGGCATAACCTCATAAAAATCTATAACAGAACAGAAAGAAAAAGAAAAAATCTCCTTAAGAAAAATCCAAAAGAAACTTTGATGATGAGAGTTCAAATACAACAGAAGAAAAAGATAAAAGGTATTCAGAAGGGGAAGGTTAGTAGATATAAAAAAAAATAAAAAGAGATATAAGATGCTAAGAGAGAGAGATAAAAGGCTGATTAAAAATCAACAAATGATGGAATTTTAAGAACAAGAGATGATGGATAATGAAAAAATATTTTAATAAAAGGGGAAAATATATGCAGGGAAAATAGTAATATACATATTAAGATAAAATATAATTTAATAACATAAGCCAAATAAGTCAAAACAGTAGATGGGAATTTAGGACTAGGTAATTAAAATGTATTATTATGTGTGTCAAAGTATATTATGAATTTAAAATAATTATGGATTAGAGCTGTGTGGGAGTTTGAGATACACTCCCGGGATTGTTTAAACATTGTTAATACTTAGCGTTGTTATTATTAACCCTACATAAGTGGAATATTGAAGTGATGATGGAACTATGAATAATTCTTAGAAAATATCAAATAATAGTATTTAGGGACTATAAATACAAGGCACAAAGAAACGTTATTATGTTTAAATGGGAAGATGAGAGACTATGAAAAAAAAGATTAGCACTGTCAAAGTTGGGGAAGTTGGAAGATTAGAATCACATATATTTATAAGCATTATTACTGTTTTTGTTGTTTAAGAAAGAATTGACCCAGGTAATGCAATGTTCATAAAATATCTATGTTCTTATTGAAAATAAAAACTTATTTTTTTAAAAAAGTGTAATGGATCTTTAACAATATTATTTCAAGCAAAGCAGACTTATTCTACTTTACCAAGTATTACCATGGATTTCTAAAATAGTAAATTGAATCCCTCTCAGCATCTTTTTCTCTTTAATGTATTTAAAGCTATTTTAATACATTCCAATAAACCAATATTCTCCCTCTAGAATGAAAAACAATTGACCCCTGCAAATTAATATACACCTTTCAAAATTGCAAAAGACATCTTCATGTGACACTGATTTATACTAAACCACATTAATCTATCTGCTACCTCAATACTGTATCGTCCAATTGCCACTGCCTCTCAGGGTCTTAGAGAGAAATGTTTCCAGTCCTATTTGGAGGCAACAGGACTGAGTGAAAGACATCAGGACATGTCAACCCCTAATCACCCTTTTCTCCAAAAAAGTAAGATTTGCCAACGACAACCAAGAAGTCATTTGTTTGATAATCTAAAACACCATTTTTATCCTCATGCCTACATATTCACTCAACAAGCACATTACATATAACAAATGTGAAGCAAATAAAAATATATTACAATTTTATAAAACATTACATCTATATGCCAATTTAATAAGATCTTTATTTAATAGCAATCATAATTTAAAACCAAACTTTTACCTTTTTTCCATAATTTCCAATGTTAAATGCAGCAACTCCCTCTTGCTCTTTTCCCTTCTCTTTATCATCTCAAGAATTGTTACCGCATGACTCAGATCCCGCCTCAGTTTAAGCATTTTTTCATAAGAAGCTTCATCATTCTTTCGATTCTGCAAAATGTAGCATACGAATGAAACATTTATATTTTAGATATCAAACTATTATAGACTGTATCAAATATTTTCATACCTGAACATAGTGAATAATTTTTCAACCACAAATTATAAATATTTATGAAGATTGTTATGCCACTTGAATCACTATGATACAATGCAAAAATGTAACAACTAATATAATATTTGTAAGATGCATTTATAATTAACAATGCCCACAATCATCCCAGGTACAAACCAACAAACAACTGTTTAGTCCCCAAATGCTCTTTGGAATTACCATGCTTTTAAGAACTTCCTAAACATCCACAGCAAGCATGCAAATCTTATTTCTAGTGGAAAGCTATTCCATAAGAAAGGAACTCCTGCATAAAATTCTGGCCTCTGAATCCCCACCCACCGAACTTCATGGGATTCTCATCAGGCATTTTTGAAGGCACAATTTGGACAGGCAGATTCTATTTGGGGTAAACAATCTCTGTAGGACTTTAAAGGTGGCAGTAGCACCTTGAACTGTACACAGAAGCAGACTGGCAACCAGTCTGTACTCGCTGTACTTGCTGTTATATGGGAAAATCAAGTTGTTCATGTTAATACATGAACTATTTCATTTTGCAATAATTAAAGTCTCTATATATGTATCTTCAAGGATTGTGCCCTACAGAGCACACTGCAGTAGTCAATACACAAACTGTCAACCCCTAATCACCCTAATCAGTGTGAGTGACAGCTACCAGTTTTAGGAACAAGAGCAACTGATTCACAACCAAAAAACCAAGCAAAAGCTCTCCTGGCCGCACCTTCCACCTCCTGTTCTAACAAGAGCTACAAGTCCAGGAGGAGCACAACCCCATCAAGAGCTTAAAGAATATTATTACAGGTGTCTTTCTGGATATTTATGGCTTAGCCTTGAAGCTTGTGGGAAAGAGAAGGGAGTCATAATTAGAGCCTTGGACAATTAAATAGAGTGCAGTGTATTGCTGTTTACTTTCTTTCTCTAATTCTTTTTTTTAGTTCCGCCACCCCCTCCACCAGCATTAAGGTCTTTATTTTTATTTTTAAGTTTGATTTATTTTCAAAGGGAAGCCTCTGAATTTTTTCTATTTTTACTTTATTTTGACTTATTTTACTTTATTTTTCCTCCTTTTTATTTGGATTCTGCTTTTTCTTTTATAATGCATATCAATGGACTATTTCTTTTTTCTTTTTTCAATTGAGGTTTTTTTTTTCCTTTTTGGCTGGATTAAGGTGTGGAATTTGAAGAAATTTATTCCTCTTGTTTTTTGTTTTGTTTTTCCTCTCTTTTTCTCTTTTCCTTCTTTTTGGCTTTGACTTTGTTTATTATTATTTTTACTGGGTTTTTATTTTTATTTTTATGCTCTTTTGTGGAATATTTTTTTTAATTGGATTAAGGTCAGGAAGAATTTGAAGAATTTTTTCTTTTTGCTCTTTTCCTTTTTCTTTTTCATGTTTTTCTTCTTTTTCTCTCATTATTGATTTTTTTTTATTATTGGCCTTTTCATTTTGGATTATAATTGGCTACTTTTTTTGGATTAAAATTTGAAAGAATTTGAAGAGTTGGAACCATTTAAAATGAGTAAGAAACTTATATCTTCGGGTGCCTCTATGTCTACCTCTGCCTCCCCACCATCTGGACAGCGCTCAATTCAGACAATGTTAAAGCAAGATAAAGAAAAAGAACAAGAAAGAGCATCTTTTCAGATGATTATGCAAGGAATTCAAGATCTTAAGGTAAAAATAGATACCATTGAACAAAGAACAGGGAGGACGGAGGAAAAAGTGGAAAGTATTCAACAGATGATGACAAAATATGAGGAGAGACTTCAAAAAGTCGAAGAAGGGGGCAAACGAAGAGAGGAGAAGATTGGAAATATTGATAATAGACTAACAGTGATTGAACAAGAAAAAAGTGGGATGTTGAAGTGGGAGTTGGATAGATCAGAATTTTATCTTAGATTTCAAAATATAGAAGAAGAAAAAGGAGACGATTTGGCTGCGATAATGGTAGGAATCTTGGCGGATGCGTTGGAGATAACAGAAGAGAAGATGATGGATGGAATAGATGAGATATATCGAGTTTTTACAAGATATGCGATGAGAAATAATCTGCCCAGAGAAGTCCATATTAGATTTACTAAAAAATCCATGAAGACACAAATTTTACAAGTGGCAAGAGAGAAGATATTGAAATACAAAGGTAAAGAAATCTTGGTCTTAAAACAAATACCTAGAAGAGTGAGAGAGATGAGAAGAGAATATCGATTCCTGACCAAAATGTTATTGAAAAAGGAGGTGACTTACAGATGGCTGATCCCAGAAGGATTGATGTTTACGTGGCAGGAACAGAGGCATAGAATTGATTCAATCGAGAAAGCAGAACTGTTCTACGCAGAAGTCTTTGGAGAGAGAGAAGGAGAGGCAGAAAAGGAGGTTCCATTAACTGAATCCCAAGAGGAACAAGTGGAGATTGGAAAAGAAGAAGGTGCAGTAGGCGGACAAGTGGATATTAAAGATCAGCGTGAATCAAGACCCACGAGAGTGGTTAAATCTAAATATAAAATATAATCATGGAAGAGAAAAAACTGATTACAATGAATATAAATGGACTGAATTCAGCTGCTAAGAGAAGGAAGATTTTCCATAAATTAAAGAAACTAAAGTTTGATATAATTTGTCTACAAGAAGTACATATTAAAAAGCAACATGAACAATTGTTATTACAACCAAAACTAGGGAAATTGTTTACCTCTTTGACTCAATGTAAGAAAAGAGGGGTGGTCTTATATATTAAAGAGGTTATTCCAGCTAAAATGATTTATACAGATGACGATGGGAGAATATTAATGGTGGAAATAATGGACAATAATAGAAAGATACTTTTGATTGCAATTTATGCCTCGAATGACAAACAGGAAGAATTCTATAAAAAATTACATACCAAGATGGCTGGACTGGACTATGCTAATATAATTATGATGGGAGATTTTAATGGAATTGTGGATAATAAACTTGACTATATTGCAACAGCAGCAAAGTATAATAGAAAAACTCTTCCTAAATCGTTTTTTAAAATGACAGAGGAATTAACTCTAAAAGACATATGGAGAGAAAGAAATGTTAAACTTAAGCAATATTTCAACAGACTTAATGTCTAGCGTTCAAGAAGTAAATATTGAAACAAGTACTTGGGCGGATCATAATCCATTGACAATCAAATGGAAGGGACAAAAAAAAAGATCAAGATGGACGTTAAACAATACTATTTTAAAGGAGAAAGAATTTACACAGTTGATGGAGAAAGAACTGGCCTTTTTCTTTAAAGAAAATAGAAAAGAAGACACTTCAATACAGAATGTTTGGGATACAATGAAGGCTTATGCCAGAGGCTTGATAATAGACTATACAAGAAAAAAGAATATTAGGAAAAGGCAAGCTTTTAAAGCCTTGGAGGATGAATATAAAGGACTCGAAAAAGAACTGCAGAAAATGCCACAGAAAAAAGATGTTAAATTGAAATTGGATATAATTAAACATAAAATGGACTTAATAGACAAAGAAGAACTGGCACAGAAAATTAGGAGTGCTAAACAGAATTATTTTGAAGATGCAAATAAGCCAGGTAGATGGTTAGCATATAAACTGAGAAAGGAGAAAGAGTCAAGGAAAATATTGCAGTTAATAGATGACCAAGGTAAAACTTGTCATGGCAGCAAAGAGAAAAAAGAAATTATTTATGACTTCTACAAACATCTGTATAAGAAAGAAGATATTGATGAGGAGAAAGTTAAACAATACTTGCAGAATGCAAATTTACCTAAGATACCTAAAGAGATTGAAGAAATGTTAGGAAGCAATATAACAATGATGGAGTTAAGCCAAGCACTTAAGAAACAAAATAATGGAAAGGCACCAGGTCCAGATGGGTTTCCTGTAGAATTTTATAAAACCTTTCAAGAATCATTGTGTATTCCACTGCTAGAAGTTATGAATGAAGTTATGCTAAAAAAGATAATACCTAAAACATGGTCAGAGGCTTATATTACACTTATTCCAAAAGAGGAGGCGGATTTACTTCAAATCAAGAATTATAGACCGATTTCCTTATTAAATGCAGATTATAAAATTTTTGCTTCAATTTTAGCAGAAAGACTTAAAAAATATCTGAATAACTTTATCCACTCAGATCAAAATGGATTTTTGCCAAAGCGACAGATTAGAGACAATATGAGAGTAATTCTGGACACCTTGGAATATTATGAGGCCCATCCTGAAAAACAAATGGCTTTGATATTTTTAGATGCTCAAAAGGCATTTGATAACGTAAATTGGAGATTTATGTTACTTTTAATGGAACAGATGGGCTTTGCTAGAAGATTTATTCAAGCAATAGAAGCAATTTACAATGAACAAACAGCTAAGGTAATGATGGAGGGAGAACTCACAGATCCTATTAATTTAAGAAAAGGCACAAGACAAGGTTGCCCTCTTTCTCCCTTGTTATTTGTATTGACTTTGGAAGTGTTGAATAGAAATATCAGAGAAGATAAAACTATAAAAGGAATGAAAATTAAAAAGGAAGAATTTAAAGTACAAGCTTTTGCAGATGACTTAGTTTTTATCCTGGAAGATCCTATAGAAATAGCCTTGAAGCTGTTGGAAAAGATAGAGGCATATGGGGAGGTGGCCGGTCTGAAAATAAACAAAGATAAAACAAAGATTTTGTCAAAGAATATGTTGCTGAGACAAAGAGAAGAACTGGCAGAATTGTTAAAAATTCAAGTTACAAATAAGGTTAAGTATTTGGGGATATACTTGACGTCGAGATGTAGTACATTAAAGGAGAACAATTATATTAAACTTAAACAACAGATAGCCCAAGACTTGAAAAAATGGGAAAACCTACAATTGTCATTAATAGGAAGGATTTCAACAATTAAGATGAACATTCTACCCAGAATTTTATTTTTGTTTCAAACAATACCAATTAGGCTTGGAAAAGAATATTTTGAGGATTTAAATAAAATTGTTTTGAAGTATATATGGCAAGGCAAGAAAGCAAGGATAAAGTTAAAGCTTTTACAGGATGCTAGATTTAGAGGAGGGTTTGGCCTGCCTAATTGGGAGTTGTACTACCAAGCTGCAAACTTGATGTGGGTTAAAGAATGGATAACATTAAGGAAAACTAGATTGTTGACATTAGAAGGTCATGATTTGTTGTTGGGTTGGCATGCATTTTTATGGTATAAGGGAACTAAAACACAGGGGTATTTTAGAAGACATTATATACGGGAGTCTCTGTGGTTAAATTGGGAGAAGACAAGAAAACAATGTTATTTGAAAATTCCAGTTTGGTTATCGACGATAGAAGCGTTTTCTTATCCTATAATTTATAAAAAGGAACAAACAGTTAGCTATGGGGAATTACTAGATGAAAAGGGTGAACTTAAATCGATGCAAAAATTAGAGGAACAAGGTATACAGATGAATTGGTTTTCATATCTGCAAATACATTCAAAGTATTATGAGGATTCCAAAGCAGAGGGATTTTATGATAAACAAACTGATTTAGATAAGATTTTGATG